CCGATGTCGGCGGAATTTGGTACGTGGGCTAAGCAGAGACCTAAGTGATACAGGGATGTAAAGGATGCTAAGATGTAAGGAATGTAGGAAGATGCAGGGATACAAAGAATTCAGGGGTGTAAAAGATGCAGAGATGTAAGGAATGAACAGATGTAAATAATGCAGAGATGTAAGGGATGAACAGATGTAAAGAATGCAGAGATGTAAGGGATGAACAGATGTAAAGAATGCAGAGATGTAAGGGATGAAGAAATGTAAAGTTGATCCGCACCCCTCGGCTGTCGGTATAGGACTGAGGAGGTCGCACCTCGTTCGAGGTCTTTCTGATATTGAGAAGTAATTACTATGTTTTAAGTTTGATTTTCATGTATACTATATTTATAAGTTATTAAAATGAGTAAAGCTCCACTTAAAGGTATGAAATTTGTCTTTATTCACTGTACAATTTCTTACATACAAAAAATGCCTGCAAACATTAATTGTGTTTAGAGCATTTGACTTTACTGGGCATAGAACAAATTAATCTATGCACACAAATATTTCGTATATATATACACAAAATAATAAAATAATTTCGTTGTTTTTACAATCTCCAGTAGTATATACAATCTAAAGTATCTAATTTACACTGAAGCATATTTCGGAAATAAGCCTGAACATCATTGTGAATTGTCTATAGAATGAAACCTTGCCTCAATTGATCCCAATTACAATTTAAAATTAGAAAGGCTATTGCATCAATTTTCATTCTAAGACAATTGTTGACAATTTTCAATGTCTGAGAATACAAAAATTGACACAATGTTTTTATCTATAGTAGATACAAACAATAAGCTAAATTATACATCATCCGAACGTAACTTCTTTTAGCACCGTTTCATATCGCTAATGAAACTAGTATTAATTACAATATCAGTAACAAGCTCGATCATTTTTACAATGCATTTCTACACGAAATCGAAAATTTTATATAAAACTAGAGGATCGGTCAATGCATGAGTAATACCCTCTCACCCGTCCCACGAGACTTCTTGTGGGCGGAAAACAGTGCAACTCTATGTTACATTATGCATATACAGTAATCCCTCCATTTACGCGGATTCATTTAAATTCGCTTGAGCTACCAGAGCCCAGATGTCACTACGATACGTTATTTAAAAACTCCAATTCAGAGATTCCCCAGTGTAATTTATTTACAGTAATTTATCTACCCCAGTAAGAGCTAAATACATATATGAGAATGTACAAAGGATCCTTATTTTAATCAACTTTTCATGATTCCATTTACGCGGTTTCCACGGTTTTCGTGGAACCAATTATGTACCCGCGTAAATGGAGGGATTACTGTAGTGACAAACCTAGGCAAGAAACATCACCACATACAAAGTACAAATTCGGTCTATTTTAATCATAGCAGGAACGTTAACGTCAGCAGGTTTTTTCCTTGATATAATTATTAAAACAGCTCGCGGTCCTTCCGCTCTTAATGGCTTGTACCGTCAAAGTACTCTCAAAGTACCTTGATCGAAGTGGCGTTTACAAGATAAGTCTCGCGTTTCCTGTCGTTTCGCAATGATGCATTTCATTTTAATCGATCAACATTAGCTTTTTATAGACCGTGGATTTCAACATAATTGACCGTTCTTACGTCATTCCGTACACATGTAGGAACACTTGGTCGACGTTACATAAATTCCGTGCGACAGTTTTCTCGCCTAAGCGAACAAATACCGTGACATTATTACATTTCTATTCGAATATATCAAAATTTTCTAAAATAGAAATTTTTAATAATAAAGCTTTCAATGGATAGTCTGGTTGAAGACAATATTCATTCGGCCTGAGGGGGATGGGTTCATTCCACGGGGAATTTTTCCACTGTGGGAACGCTATGGGCAAGGAGTAACGCGAAGCTGTTGCAATTTCATTGGTAATTCGAAAAATGTATAGGAATTAGCGGGATTGGTATGTGAAGAGGTTTCGGTGGCATCGGCGATAAAGGTATTCGCTATAGGCACGTAGATGCGTGAGTTTATGCGTGCGAGCTGGCGTAACGCGGCAACAGAGAGCAGGAGGAGCTAAAGAAGAAGAAGGTACTAAGAAAGGAGCGGCGAGGTGTGCGGGTCGCCAACACATATCTCGATATCTCACGGTTCGATCTTTTCTCGGCCCTGGCTGCCCGTATATTTACATGTATAATTTATATATCCCGTAGCAGGAACGAAGGTGGTGTGTGCTCAGTCAGGGCGGGTTCTACCTAACGTTTTCTTACCGCCTTACCCTTTTCTCGACGCATTCGCGGCTGGTATCAGCGTGCGGCCATTATACAGGCCGTTCCATCAAACATTAATTTATAATATTGTCTCAGAGTTTATTATACGAAACTTAGTTATTGAAATACAATAAGTAATTGTTCTGGTTGCCTAAGACTGAAAGGTTTATCTTTCTAGGGCAAACTTTCCCCAAAAAAAAATAAAATAAAATTATTTCATACTATTTAATTATGGATATTGGTTCGATGAAACATCCTGTACAGGGTTCTTTGCTCATAGAGAATTTCGCGGGAATCCAGCCAGCTGAATTCCCACGATACCGCTGCGGTGGCAATTCCGCTGCACTTGCCCGACGAATGAGGATGCGTCTTCGGAACGGTGCTTTCTGGGGAACTTCGAATCATTCGAAGATTTCTTGAATTTTCAAAGGCATTTATCAGAGAACATTACGTTTCTTATTATTAAAACAGAGATTCCTGCGGTGCATTTCTATCGAAAGCTGTTAACCCTCGGAAGACGGAGGGAGCCTCAATTTTAATTCAATTTCATTTTTTAAATTTTATTCTGTTCCTTATGAATTATTCTTCCAATATATAAAACTCATTTGTTCAAAAATTATACCTTTAACTTTAAGTTAATCATATATTTTATTTTGTAAGTTGGAGGCTCGATTGACCGGGATTCCGCTATTCAAGGGTTAAGCTGAGTGCAATTTGCACAAACTGACTCGTATAATTGAATTTGTACAGGCAGCTGGTTACGTGTGACTAGAAGATTTGAAGTTAAGAATCCAGATAAACTAATGCAAATCAATTGTTCGATCAAATGTGCATTCGCGAAACAGTGTATGCAAATTGCAACGACCTAACGAACCCAGCATCGCATCTAAACGGCGCATAATATTATCATTTACTGTTACTTTCAGGATTCCCCAAGGATTACGCCTTCGCATAAACTTTCTTGTTCACCTACGAACTGTTGGAGAGTTGCGCCGATTAACAAGCCGTTCTCACACAAATGCGGAAGATGTTGGTAGACCAAGGTGGGCCTCAATTAAACCTGGATACCAACGAATTCCGTGATACGTTCCCGTTCGCGTAACACGGCCACGATAAGAAGAGTCACCGATCGGCACGGTGCCGCACCGTGCGTTCGTGGGATTTTTTTCCCTTAAATAATGCGCCGCTACCAAGCTGACCGTCTCTCCCTACCTGCATTGTGGTCGCGAGGGAGTGCAATTAATTATTGCGTCCCCGCGAGAGAGTGCATTGTTGCATCTGTTGTTGCACTCTCCATGTTTCGGTGTGCGTGTGTTTGTACAGTTCAGAGGAGAAGCTGTAAATGATTCCGGGCCGCGAAACGGTTTTTGGTCAATTGCGATTCTTTGTATTGTACCATCGAGGGCTGCGGTTATTTATGAGCTTACAGTTGCCCCGTGCAATTTACCTCGATTTATTCGGGACACGGAAACAATTAACCCTTTCGATACTAAGGACGACAATAGTCGTTGGCCACGAATTACCGTGTACCAAGGGTGATTATATTTATCCGATGCAAATGGAAATTTTGAAACGAACCCTTTCGCATTTCCCATTGATATTTCATATTTCTTTATAGCATTTGAATGATTGAATTTCTATCGTGAAATTTCCGGACGATAATTTCACGAGGATTTGCAAGGCTCGAAACGAATTTGTTTGGTAGGGCGGTAAAGAGTGGCGACGAGTCGAAAAGGTGTGCAGTGATTGCGCGTGGACAGGGCCCGGCGCAGGTGAGACACAAGTGAAAGACGTAAAAGCGGGACGCGGCGCGGAGAATCTCAAGGTAGAATGTCTCTTCCAGTTCGTGTTCTGTCGAAGGAACAATCGGGACTGTCCGAAGGGAAGGTAATTAAGAGAACACGACGGCGACGATTAAACGAGTCCTGCCGAATCGGGTGAAACGAATTAATTCTACCGGCGAACGAGGGTCGAAGATAAACGATTGAGCTTGACGAAGGCCGGGAATCCTGTTTAACGATTCAGTGACGAATACTTTCACACGATACCGCGAAACGGGCTTCTCACTAACACTCGAACGAAACTTGTCCTGAACCACACGGCGTTTGTCAATTCGTATCTGGTGCAGTTCTTAAAATCATTTTAAAAATTCATTTCTCTGAACTTGAAACAATTTCGGAACACTGATCGTAAATAAGATGAAGAAAATGAGTGATTATTCATACAGCAAAAAAAGAAAGAAAGGAGAGCATCGATGAAACATCGCGTGGCATTTTGCTCGAAATGCAAAAGCGGAGCGGATGTTGCCGAGAGCGATTACTGAAAGTCTTGGAACGTCAAATTACGAAACACCTGTTCCTCGAAACAACTTCATTTCAATCGGTTTCGTGTACCGCAGTTATGAATCTCGTTTTTTATTACCCTTGCGAAATGATTCTCTGATACGCGAATCCATTGTTTTTAGTAGTTCTTGCTACGTTAGTTAACCCTCGAACAGCAGACCATGGAGAGAGTCCCAATTTTAATTTCGAAGTTTCCATATATGAAACTCTTTCGTTTAAAAATTATACATTTAATTTTCTCGATTGACCCAGACTTCGCTGTTCAAGGATTAAGAATAATGCACGGTACACGTGAGATACGTTCGCGTATTAATTAACCGGAAGACTAATTCACTATGGACTCATTCCCTGAGAGGAGAACAATAACGACGTTCGTTCACGGTTCATAGTTTGCAAATGCGGCTTCTGGTTTATTCAGAAAGTCGCGTTACAAGCTGCACGAAATGCACGGTTACGTAACAAGACACGTAATGATAAATCATTTTCATTGAGTTTAAATGAGAGTAAGTCTATTGTAATTGTAGTTTCATTCGACGTACGAACATCATCGATTTCCGCACGAGTAAGCACTTGTTTCTTCTTGACAGAAGAGAGTTGCAAGTTGAAAATTTGTATGGCACTGTCGTTTAGATAGTTTCATTTCTCAAATTTTCAATTAAATTAAATTCCTGGCCGAGCTTCTGTTTACTCTAATTTCATTATTTATAACGAAGTGTTTTCGAACATAGATCACCATCGATCCATGTACTCCACTTGAATATAAAATAATTCACTACCAGAATCACAATTGTTCGTACACTGTTATAGTAACACCAGTCTTCTCTTTGCAACGAACTTAAAAATAAGGAACATTCGAACAGACTAATCCTCACCGATTTTTTCATCGAAGTTCATCCTCGTTTTAGATGTAATCCGAAGGCACTGAACTCTCGTTTATCGCGGCCAATCTATATTGCGAACTTTCCAGACCCTGTGGATTCAGATGAAGATTCGTGTTGCTCGTCGATGATGTTGCTGTAGGTATCTGTTGATTCGTCGAATTCGAGCTAAGGTCACTGTAGTACGCGCTGCTCGGTGCGCTGCTCAACGTCGGTCCATCCGGCTCCGCGTCGCTTCCGGTGTACGCTGTGTTCTGATACGACGGATGTTCACCGTTCCTACTACCGCCGATCCGTAGGTCCTGATGATGATGGTGATGATTGTGGTGATGATGGTGGTGATGATGGTGCTGTAGCTGACCCGGCGGCACCGGCGTCGAGGGTCCGTTCTCGTACATCTCGTAATCCGGTTCTTGTAACCTGAAAACATTGGATTACGATGTTACAGAGCGCCGACCAATCGATTAGCGTTTATGATAAGATAGTTGATACCCGTCTTTCGATTACGTTTATTTTCTCCTTCAATGGAGATGGAACGATCTAATGTTTGCTGTTCTTATTTAGAGTCTGCGGGCGAGGAATTTTAGATAGATAGGTACCGATAAGGTATAGGGTATTTCATAGTAATCATCATCGCGATTTTTTTAGGTATTTTCAAAAAAAAATATTATGAATTGATTAGCACTTACGAAGGAAGCTTCGAAAGTCTTATTTATTAATTAAACTTTGCTACTCTCTTTTCTTTTCTTCTTTGTTGTACGAATAATAATTTTTTTTTCTTTGCTGCGTTAATTAATGCTCGGATGACGAACCAGACGGCTAATTATTCAATAGATATTATCAATTAAAATTAATTATTCCTTGGATTCTGAAGTATAACGCCCTTAGGCATACAACCGGTCTAACACATGTGAAATATATGGCTGCAAATCTAAAGGTTCTCAGTTCAAATCCCGATTCCCTGGTTCCTTTTTTTTGCTTTTTTTTAAAATTCAAAACACTATTTTTTAAATTAATCTATTATTTATGTTGCATTTATCATAAAATTTAAATTATTTAACTCATAACTCCTAAAGTGGATATAAGTATATTCAACTCAACGAGTTCTCTAAGGTGGCAAAGCTTCATTAATAACAGTTCCCCTCATTAGATAATAACAAATAGCTATATTAAAAATAGTCAAAAGAAAAGAATTTCAATATTGTAATTTAATGCTAACCGTTCCGATGAACACTCGTGCAGTTCGAAACGGATGTAGTCTTTTTACGTTCGATGAGTATCTCTTAAACCGGTTGCTTCATACTCATAAACAACAATCGACACGATGCTCTATTTTCTTTGAAATGTTTAAGTTTGATTGCTTATGAAAGGAATTAATAGGATTTCTTGCACAGATATTACGATCGAAAGTAGCTATAATAAAATAAGCAGAACAAGTAGTATCATCAATACGTGATCATCTCGAGAAAGAAAGTATACAATTATCGTTGATCGATTGAAATTACTAAAGAGCAATATGTATGAAAGATAGTCGATATCGTAGATCAGAGGAAAAAAAAAAAACCTAATTACGCGAGAATAATTTACCTTTTACTGTGGCGCGTACGAAGCGTATCCCCTCGAAGAGAACCGTCCCCGTTGCTTCCACCGTAATGACGATGTAACCTCGCGGCGTCCAACTCGTGGTACTCGTCGTCCTGTCCGCCGGAAGTAGTACCGTACGTCGAGCTTCCTCTCATTTGTAGCTGCAGATCGCTCGCGTAGCTCGCGGCCTGAGAGTCCAGTTCTGCGTATAGGGCTTCGTCCGTTTGCATGTGGGTGTAGTGGTTCTCCACTGGAAGATTCATCGCCCGTCTATGTTGCGGAAGAGAAAGAGGCGTCGTGACGACTCCTGGCGTACCACCGCCACGTCGCGAGCCTAACCACGACCACACATTGTGCCCTTGAATCAAATCCAACCAGGGAAATCGAAATCAATTCTCATCGACTTTCATGAAAAAAAGTGTATCTTATTCTATGAAACGTACTCGAGGTATCCAAATAACCGAGTGCCAATTACTCGAGTACTTTTGCTAAATTTTCTTTCAATTTTTTCTGATCATAAGAGTGTCCCGGGCAAAATGGTCGTCAACTGTATCGCCAGTAAGAAACATTACCCGAGTGATCGTGTCATAGTGAAAAGTGGATGAATATTATTTATCACTCGCGTAATATTCCTTGAAAATTAAACATTAACATTTACCAGGACTAGGGGCAACGTCGTGATAAGGTGGCAGCTTATCGAGCTCGAGAGGTGGTCGATCTGGTATAACCGCTACCCCGCCACCAGAACCGCCTCCACCAGCTGTGGCACCGGCTTCCTGAACGTTCGAGTCTTCGACGCCGACGCTGCAGCAGCTCGCTGAAACAAGAAACAAAGGGTCGTGTCCCACGTGAGGTTCGTTGCCTTGGAAAATTCGTTGGCAACCGATCGGTACGCGAAAGTCGTGCTCGAGTTTCACTTAAGAAGGGTCGGGTCGGCCCAGGGTACACGAGGATCCGAGGCGAAGCTCGTGAAGTGGCAGGTGAACGTTCGTACAGAATCCTGTTACGTTACACGATCGTGTGTATGGTTCGTAGATATATTACGCAGGCAGGAACACGAATCATTATGACATGAGCTCGCGTATGAAGGAAAAGAAAAAAGAAAAAAGAAACGCGGCAGTTTTCTGTATGGCCTCATTGTACGGCCGTCATCGTGCTGTCATGTGACCCTCATAGAAACTCGCCGGGGTTCGGGGTGGAAGAGATCGAGCGGGGCGGATGAAGGAATCGAGGCAAAAGAAAAAGGAGAAAAAAAAGGGGCGAGAAGGGGATGAAAAAAAGAGGAATTCGGAATTCATAGATCAGAGATGCCGACTGGTGGCATGAGAAAAAAACAAGATTATGGGAATCTCGGCTTCCTTCTTGCTCCTCCTCGGCGTGCCGCATAACCTACGCACGTACGACACTCTGATCGGTGCTTTTCGTCCCCCTGGACGATTCCTGACGGCTGTCACTCGCCAAGAGTAGGAAAGAGAAAGAGACTGGTTCTCGTTTTATCGTCGTCCTTATACTAGCGACAGAAACCCGCGTGCACCGAGTATAATATCTCCTCTTCGTCCTTCCTCCAGGCACCATTTTCTTCTTCCTCTTCTTCCGAGAAACTCACGACGAGGATAATCGGCGATGCGCTGAAACGTAGCAGAACGAGAAGCCAGGGTGACGGACACGAGCAGAAAATTTAATTCCGTCCCTTACGGTTCGTGGATATTTATAACGAGCCGTTACACACCGTCATTTACATAATTAGAATCTACGCAAAGAGCAGGAGAGATTGCCTGCTAATTGAGAGACTGTACGGACGTTCACGCGAGGTCTTCGTGTATTAGTCAAGAATATGACGGGGTTTCTCGGACGTCAAACGATCCTTGTAACTTTTCCAACCGCTAAGACAAGACGCGTGAGTCATGAAATAAATTTGTCCTCCATTATCCGACGATGAACAGTTCCCTGCCGTCCGATCAAAGACACGCGAATCCAAACGGATAGGGACCAATTACCCGTAGCTACGCCATGTTAGAAAGGATTTCAATTGCCGCGGACACTCTGTTCCGCGACCCTAATCAACCTTCCATTCATTACGCGCCGCTCGTGGAACGCGGTGCTTCATCATTGGTAAGGACGGTCGCGCGCGACTTCATTTGCGCTCGTCTGGCTAGAAATCCGAGTGCAATCGATTACGTCAAGCTGTAATCGCGTTATTTATCGTCGGACGTGGCAGTACTCTTCGGCATTCAAACGGGCTACGCATCGACGTACAACGATTTAGCGTACGATGGCAGGCGTGAAGCAGTTTATTGCTATCGTAAATAAGGCGGTGCCGATTTATCCGATCGGTATGCTCGTTCGAACGACCGGGGTTCTTGCTTTATAATTGAACATCGATCTGTCACGATGATTCCTCGCTGCTTCTTTATGCCGTCTCTCTTAGAATGGGAAAGTTCGAAGGAAACACGGTGTATTCAACGCGATTACGCCATAGTTCCGATCTTCTAGGTGAGGTAATCGGATCCGTTCTTTTTCCAGGCTGTCGCTTCGCGTGATTGTTCGACGGACGCGTTAACCCGCGTGATTTACCGGATTGGATGGTTCGGATATTAATTGGTCGACGGATGCGTTAGCCCGGCAAACGGGACGCGTGAAAATTGTGTGGCGTGCCGTGACAACGGGAGGGCGAGTCTCGCCCTCACGATCTACTAGATTCGAACACCTACCAGCATTCGATTTCTTGGCAACCGTGCGTGATCCTTTTCGGTCCAGATTCATTCTGGCTGATATTCTTTCGACCGGTTAGCTGCAACTCGATCGTCCATTCTCGCGCGTCATCGTGTCGGAAAGATCGCCGCGAAAGACGATATTAGTGATGAAAGGAAAAGGGATGCGTTAGCGTTTGTTGAAACGTGTTTTCTGTCAAATTGAATTTAATAGAATAGATGGTTCAAATGATAGTTGCAGCTGATATCTCAACAATGATTTCACCCTGTATCGATTACTTGTCATTTTGAAAATCAATATAGTACATTCGGCTAAACTTTACTTTGGGGAACGCAAAATTGTTGGCTATTTGTTATATATTCTGATAGTATTTGACGAGTAGATTATAAAAGTATCAGTTTCAAGCTCAGTAATGCGCATTCAAAGTTACTTATTTTTTAGTATATTTTTACGCCATATCGACTTCTATCTGTAATTCGCCCAGCCCTTCGTGGCGAAAAGGGTGAACATTTCTATGAATACCCTTTCAACGAACACCAGGAGATCCTTGTTGTCGAGGTTTCGAGGGAGCAGAGGCCGATTCGGCGTATCGAGCGAAGAAACGGGCGATAAGCCGATTAACGGATTCGATTCACCTATTCTATCCGGCTCTCGAATCGCCATTGTGTTCCGTCGATCGTGCCGGGAACCTAACGTGTACGGGATCTCGTGTTTTTTCTTTATTTTTTTCTTTTTTTTATCGCAACCAGCCTCTTTCAGCCGTCCATTAACGCCTCTCTTGTCCGTTGGCATTCGCGGCGATTCTTACGCACGTTTCATTAATTCGTTTTCTCTGCCTCTTTTCAGCAGAAATGAAATTGCACAAGCAACATCGAGTCGCGTTTACTTCTGGTTCAGCTACGCTAGAATTTCAATTACATTCATACAACCAGGTACGGCTATAATTTCACCGTTTGACAAGTGTATGTACACGGACCTAAATAAGCCTTTCGCCGAACGGGATGTCCTGCGACGTTAACCAACGCGCGGTTTTGATGTAATTAATAGAGAAGCGAGGAAACGGATGGTTCGGACGTCCACTCTCGGTTTCCTGAAAGGTATAATCAAGAGTTTCTTAACGACCTCGAGATTTTTCAATAGATTACGCAATGATAGGCACTAGATGTCCAAATTCGTAAGCGATTTTTAAGTATAGACCACGATATTTTTCCTCACCGCACTGTTGTCAATTGTTTAGCTTAATTAAGGGTAGCGTGTTCGGTCGTTCCAATTAGTCGTGTCGAGTGTTCCATGAAGATCAACCTCTTGGCGCCAATTATAGGAAGCGTATTGAATCGGTATCGATCACGAAGTTTCGGTGTGAAGGGATCTTAAGAGTGGAATCGTGGATCGACGACGGGGTTCAGGGAGGTTCGGTAAAACGAGTGTCGGATAATTAATTCGAGTGACCCTTGTATAGTCAGACCGGCAGCCAGTTGAGCTCGCCTCCTCTATTCTCTTCTTCTATCTGCCCTCGTTCTCATCCTCCTTCTTTCTCCTTTCTACGTTCCTTCGAGCCACGTTGATCGTATCGTGCCGCGCGGCTGATTTTAAATCAGAAAGTTAATTAGACGCGTTTCACTGTCCTTTATGTCGCCTGTACGTCGCGTCGTGTCGCGTCCACTCGGTTTACCCTTTAACGTGTGCACGAGTCGAATATACCGCCGTGAACGGCTTTCATTATGCGAACTAATTAAACTCCAATCGACGCTGACACTCGACGCCACGGCTCTACTATGCTTCTCGTTTGCACTGATCGACGTCCGTCCACTGTGTGAGGCCTCTGCGTCTTCGGGTTTCGATCGGACAGACACGCTCGAGCTATCGTCAACGACATCCGGATGTGTCTTCGGGGGTGAACACATTGTTAAAAGGAAACGATTGTAGTTGGAGTTTTAGGGAAGGATAGGATAAGATATCCAGGGGATACCCTATTCCAAAATAAGTATAATTGTTTTATTTCTTTATACAAAAGAAGGTTAAATTTTATTTTGGGGATACTAATTTGTTCGCTTTTAATTTAACGCTCTAATTTCAATGTATTAGTAAAAGAAGAAAAAAATAATATTTGCTATTCCACTCGACCTATCATCATACCCTATTCTCTCCTACTAATAATCTGGAAGGTTTTTTCTAATTTTCCTTAGGGAAAACGTGCGTTGGTTTAAACCCCGTTTAAATAATCGCAGTTCAATGTCGGTACACGTGGTCGATGTTCTTTGAATAGAGATAAGGTTTCAAAGGATATTCATAAAGGAATTATTAAGAGGTAGATATCATATTCTAACGAGGGCCAAAGAAATCGGAGAATAGATGGAATTATGAATCGATATGCCGGTAGGGGATCTAGGATAATTATTGCGAATCATACGATCTGTCAGCGGTTAGTCATGATCGCGTCTGTGATTAGGGTCGATCGCTACGTCTATTGTACCAATTTTCTATGACTGGTACTGCCAATTATTAGCCGTATGGCAATTTGAAATTCTATTATTAAAGAACGCCTTTGAATGGGTATAAGGCTGTTGTACGATATTAAAACGAACGTGAAAAAGGGGTCAACGTAATTACGTATGATTAACATCGCGAATGGTGACTAATTCCAACGCGAGTATCATCGCGGCAGTAATTTATTATATTATGGAGATAAAGAGATAAGCGTACCGAGAGGAACCCATAGTGGACTTAACCGTAAACTCGATAAGCGGCTTACATGTAATCCTATTATATCTATTAATAAGTACAGCTCAAAATACCTGCCAGAATCATCGTAAAAATTTGAATTTTATACTAATCCGCGAAACTGATCTTACCTCTTCCACCGGTGCTCTTCAATCTGTAACAGAAAAAACGAACGATTCTATTAGATACAGAGGTATGTTCAACAATAATTATAAATTAAATTAAAAATTCTCGATGCATGTTTGTACGAAGAATCGGACGGAAGCGGTTCGCAATAAAGATTCTCCAATTACGTTTACGAGTGTCTCTCCTTAGCTTTTTTTCACTGCTTCCTCCCGATTGTTTTTTGTCTGTCGCGCGGCGAATTCAAATCGTACCGATCTAGTTAGCAACCGGTTCACCCTGGCTTATTACGGTTCGGTTACCTCTCGATTTTGATGGATTGCGGGTAGGTGGTAATTTAAGGGAAATCGATCGGCTGCTGCCAGCCGAGCTATAAACCGCGATCATTTCGCGAATCTACCTGATCGTTGATCCGTATCGAGATGCATCGCTGATCTTCTGCCTCTTTGTATGGATTTCGAAGGCAATCTCACGGGAACCGATCGGGCAGGTGTTTACGTTCTCGTATTTCGATTCGAAAATTCCACGATCCAACGGATAAATCCCCTCTATCTAAGGTGTCTGATTGAATCGAGCCCGATACTTTCCCGAGCTGTGATTCTTCCACGATTTCTTGATAAAATGATAAATTATACTGACCTTCGACAGTGGAGAAGGGTCACCATGACCACCGCACCGATACCAGCCGATACTAACGACACTATCACCAACGTGAGCACCCATCCGAGTTCTCCGGGTGCTTCTGTAAAAATCAAACAATGCATTCTTATTAAAACGATGTTGTTAATACTCGACTAGGTGTTTCTAACTGATCATCGAACCGTGACTGTTCTTGATCGTTTCTTGCGGTGATTCTGAAACACCGTAGGATACCATAAAAAGGTGTGCTATGATGGTTAGTGGTCTTGTTACGCAGATATACGACACTGTTCTTTTAAATCGAGACTGTTTGATCGTTTTTTTCTTTCGTATGAAATTCCTTTGTTCTTGTTTCGTCACACTTATAAGTATCGTCGTTTTTCTTTTTTCATTCTTTGGGCGCTGGATAAATAAGTTTATTAAGGTTCGCGTGTTAACGAAAGAGCCGCGTACTTAATTGGACCACGATTCCGTTCACCACGTTCATTTTCCACTCAGCTGGACGCCTGCAACTTTATTACGTGGTCTTTGCTATTATTTTTGCGGCACACCTACCGAAACTTTCTCCTCGTTTGCTTTTCGATTCAAATCGAAAACTGTAACGCGACGAGACACGATATGGCTACCAAAAATTATTCTAATCGTTTAATAATAAGAGCTTCAAAGAGTTCAAATGCATTTATTTGATAAGGATAGGATTGAAACATCCAAAGATAATTGCTCGCGATAGAGTCGTCCTATTCGAACAATCTTTTCGCGACTCGATCCCATGATTTCCAGAGAATCATTTTCCTACTGGAGAACACGACCATTTAACCAGTTTCCAGATCATTCGTCCCAAGATTCTCACAGTTCGCTGAACGTCGACGTACGAGCTGGTGACAACTAGTTGCGCTCATTAGCCGATAGCTTCTGACGATTCACCGAGATATCTTAATCCTTTAATGAAACGTCCCGGCCTGATTCCTAATTTAACGTCTCGATCGCCTGCGTTTCTTGCGGAACGGTTAGGTCTCGTGGTTAACTTGACTGTCATCGGGGATCGTAAATAGAAGAGAAGATGTAATTTAGTTAGAACGAGATACTGAGGGGAAGAGAGAAATCCTCGTTGCTTTTAAAGTGGCAAGGAGAATGCTCGTTTGCGATAATTGGTAATATCATGCGACTAGATATCGAACACGTTCGTTATTTATTTTAGCACCGTTTGTATCAAAAATGGAGTCACGAGTAGCCGAGTTAAAATGACTAAATTAAAAGCACCCTGATGTGGATATAGGGGAAAATTATTTTTTGTTTCTTTTACTAATAGACGACGGTATTCATTTTTGTAGCGGAGAACCGACGCCAACAATCGTGCCTCGTGTTTTGTTTGAACCTTGGCCTCGTTTTTTCGACCACTCCCGAAGGATAGGTAAGTTCCAAGCTTCATTTTTGATAAATGAAGCGCGCTCGGTTCGATCGAGTCCCGATTAATCACCGCGCAGTTAGCGTGGTTAATTTGAATTCTATTAACTCTAACTCTGCCGCCGGCGGTCTCCCCTACGGCCTTTATTTAATAATCTCTTAACACTTTCGACGGACGTACACCATGATTATTAATAATTCATCAACTGAATAGCTACATAATTATTTCCATAAACACCAGACGGTTAATAATGAAAGTACAAAAAAAGAAAGAACACCGGTTGTCCGGCTATCTGGTTGCAAGATTAAGTTGACGCGAGGGAAGACGAATTAAAGGTAAGCAGAGGAAAGGAACATCGAACCGGAAAACAAGATTCGTGGTTAACACGGCGGCGTGTAAGTTTGAATTAACAGCAACAGGTACGTCGAACGTGAATATACGAAAGGGAACGTATAAAACGGAGATGAGAGACAAAGGAGAGAAGAGAACCGTAAGTCTCGGAGCGTCACGTTTCTGACGTGAACATAACAACGTGCAAGCGACGGCTGATAACACCGTACAACAGAGTTATCAATCATCTCTGGCCGTGGTCGGCCACCAAAGATTATTCGTGTTGGCCAGGAGACGCGCGAACAGCCTCGCTACGCGTCAGGTTACAATGTTGTTTCGACCAGCGAACAGAAAGAGGGATAAATGAAAAAAAAAAAAAAAAAAAAGGGGAAGAGAGTCTCGATTTGGGAACAACCCTCATCTCGAGTTCCCTGTCAGGAGCGAACGATGCGTACAAAAAGGGACACCTATTCTGTTCCTGTGTTCGATCCTTTGTATGCTCTTCGATTTCACGTCGAATCAATCTTTTTTTCACCGCGCTAGAAACTTTTGAGAGGTTTGTACATTGTTAGCTGTTTATTGGTAGGACTACTGTGAACGTGTTTGAAAAACAATTTGATGAATAAATGAGTTTCTTCTTGGTCCGTTTGTGATCGGGTTCGTTTCACCGTCCGATGGAGTCTAGATTTTCATTTGTAAACATCCACAGGGGGTCGATTCGTGCGACCACGTGAACATCGTCGATACACGCATTCTTTCGCTCGATTTTACACGTGTTCACTGCCACCGGCAACACTCACGCACGACACGCAACTGCCCCGCAGGATTTATGCGAATATAGGCCGTTTCGTGGAACACGATTACCAACAGGTGCTGAGGAAGGTGCACGACCACCTTGAAGAACGAAAGGGTCCAAGAATTTCGGAGAAATACATGTAAGAATGATTTTTAGGGAAAAATCGAACGATCAATCCGGCTGATATTCGATCGTCGAGCAGAAGTGTTGAATAGAAAGCGTCAGAAAGAAGGTTTCGAAATCTATTACGTAAAACCTATTAATTTCGACGTCGAATCACGGTACATACTCGGAGATTTAGCCAAGTATCGTTGAAACATTAATCATCGATGTCGTCTCGATACGTATCGATCCTCTGACAGTTTATATCAAAGCGGTTTGTATGTATTAACCAATATACGATTCGAAGGTCGATTCATTTCATCAAACTCGTTTATAGGTTATTCGTTAATAATAAACGGCAAACAGGATGTTATATCGTTTAATCAATTATAATATTTTGCGCATTCTTCGTCAGAACTAAAAAACAGTCTAACTGTTACCAGGAGGATTTCGATTGCGAAATCTTTCTCTGACTCCTCTTCCTTCGTTGCAAAATTATAAAATTACACAGGAGCTCGATATGCGTAATTACGAATGACTCGTCATTATCTTTCTCGCGCGGGAATATCCTTTTGACGGACACGTTTCGGGCGAAAAAATGGACGCTTTGAGACGCTGCTGGATAATTAGAGATTTACCGTAACTTCATTCTTTCTTTCTTTCTTTCTTTTTTAAATAAACGTTCTTTTACTTTTCTTCTTCGATTTCATTTAAAAAATCAATGCAGAAAGAGATAAGATATTTTACAGATCGCATTATTACGAGAGAATAGCTTTCGCGAAGACTGCGTTCCCCGAAATGATTAATTAAAAAATGAAAAATTGAGTAAACGCGAGGTGTAATTTGCGAAACATAGCGAGCCACGATCCGCGTAGAGATTGCCGCCGGTAATCCGATTATGGCTTTGTATATAACAATTTCATTTCGCTAAAACGACTATATCGATGGTACGTACTTCGAGATACAGATTCATCCAATCGAATTACCATTTTGTTCGCTGCATCGCCAATCTCCTCCCTCGGTGTTCGCGGTTGCCGATGATTGCATGCTATTCACTCGCTTCCGCTTTAATCCCTAAATGTGTAGTGTTGCCATTTCCACATTTCTTTTCTAAACGTGGATTTTTATAATCATTTGGTGACAAATCAAATAAAAAACCGTACATCAAGATAGTCTTGCTGTACTTCGGCACATAAATTGATAATTAGGTAGATCTTAAGGGCCATAAATAAATAAATAAATTATTTAAAACGATACTTCTTTTCCTACACTTCCGATACTAAGAGAAGTCTACATTGTACCCGCGTGTAATTAGGGGAAGGTTCAAGGGTCAATGACATCTGCCTACCCACCCTCCGATCAATACCTTTTTTCTTCCTTCTTCCATATTTCACATAACGTTTAATTAGGAGCGTTTATCACGTTGTCAGCGTGGCAAGAGAGGGAAGAAAAAGAAGTCGGTATTGTCGCTGCTAGTTGGGCATTCAGTTAGTGACAAAATAATTAAGCATCGAAGAGCGTTCAAAGGCCAACAGCTTGCTTCCATGAGCCACGATCGTTGAATTACGACTTGGTTGGCTAATTACCCGACAGCGGTTACGTAAGCTTCGTCCATGTAAGTGTACACCGTTCATTAATCATCATTAAGGAACGATTCGTGTGTCCTGATAACGCTTCGCGAGAAAGCCCTGATCCCTCGCGCGACGTCGTGAGATTTCGCGTCGTAAAAGGAGAACACGAACGTCGGATCCTCAGATGTCTACAAGGGACTTTTATGAATTCTCTCCTTTCGATCGTACAGCCCGGTGATGTAATCGCGTACAATGATGGCCTTTCTAAAGATTCGATGACGCTTAAATAGCATAGATTAGTTCGCGACTGACGGGGCTAGGATGAAAAGAACCGGGCGGATTGTGTGCAGATGGATAAGTGAAAGAGTTTTCGTCGACGGTGGTTAATTAATTGTTTAGACACAATTTGCGGACTTTTGGATGTTTGCTATTTCAAGGATTTTCAGGTGGTGTAGGTTGAATGGTACTCGGCTGTGTGTGAAAAAAAGGAGAAAGGAATTTTTTATTAAAATAATCGATCTTCCACGAAACAACGAAGTTGTAATGAAATCAGGGTTTCCAGGGAAAATGGTGAGGTTCCAAGTTCCGATCCCTCCCCTTAGGCGCTCCCGAGGAGACTGACACTGTAGGGGAGGAGGCCTCATGTATATGGCCTGCGGCGCTCCACCACTTGCGTATAAATGTTTACACGGAAAAATTTGAATTAATATTTACTTCGTTATTCGTACTTTTCAGTTATACTTACACTGAATTATATGATATTTAATAATTAAAAATCGTGTTATTTTTTTTCTAAATCCCTTTTGATATTAATATTGTCAAAATTAGGATTTTGAGAATTCCTGCTTGTCCAATATATATATTTTTAAATTAATTTAAACGCGTTTAAAGTTCGAAGT